AGCTTTTGATCCCAAAAGAGAAATGGCTTTGATGTGAGAGCTGGGGTTTGAATGCCATTGACCCCCAGGGCTTTGGTGCTCTCTGTGGGTTGTAGATGAGGCGGCTAGCTTTAGGTGGAGTACAAGCTTGTGGGTGAGAAGTGTGCAGATCTCAAGTGAGGTGGGCCTGGAGCATCAACTGATGCACCCCTCATCTTTGTGCTTTTAGCTTCACTCCAAGGGACCAACACTTGGGCCTTCCCCTCCATGTGAGTCAGATATATTTGACCTACCCACGTGCTGATGGGGTCCATATTACAAGCAGTTCATGGATGGTGGATAAGCCCTAACTTCTGCCTGGATGCCGTCAGAGGGCTTCTAGGAGATCACTGTGCTGGTCACACTTTTCAGGGAATGGAGTGCAGCTTCAGAGGCCACACTGTTTGAGGACAAGGACTTCTGGGGGCATAGAGAGGATGGAGTTTCCGGAGTGAGGCAAGGGACCTGGGGTGCTGAGCCCAGAGAAGGGTCCTGGTTGTACCCTTGCACGGCTACCATGGGCTGAGGAGTCCTAAAGCTAAGCTGTGAAGAGGGTCTCCCATAGGAAAGGGATTGCCCAGGACAGAATGATCTCCCTCCCCAACTAAGTTTGGGGGTACATGGTTCAGTTAAGCATGGTTGCCCGTTTGTCAAGTTGGGATATGTTGGCAAGTCACAGTATGCACACTGTATTCTCTGTTCCAATCCTTGGTCCCTGAATCTATCCCTTTCCCAGACACAGCCTGGTTGCCACCAGGATCATTTTCTTTTTCATCTCCTGCCGCTGAAGCCAGTTATAGCCACCAGGGGGCAGCAGTACAGCATCAACCAACCTGGGACGGTCCTCAGCCCAACCAGGGAAGGTTCGAAGCCCCCTCCAAGAACCAGGTGGGTTAAAACTCTGGGCTGCCCCCTTCCTCTTCCCTTTGGCCCCAGAAATTCTGGGCCCAGGGGATGGAAAGTAAGAGGAAGTGAGGAGTGGGGAGAGATAAGGGAGGGCTCCACAGATTTTCTCTGCAACTCCCCATCTCTCCCTGCCCTCCCTAAACCTGTCTTCTTTCCTCTCTGGATTTCAGTTTGACTTCCAGGCAGCCCCTCCAGCCTCCCACAGGCTGGCTGCCCACCGGTGCCCTTGGGTCTCTAGGTATCTACTTGGTACCTGTCAGGACTGCCCCACCCCCTCTCCGTTCTTCATCACAGATGTGCCCACTCGGCACACCCAGAAACACTGATGCCCTCACTCACACCCAACAGCACACAGTGTCCACCCATGCGGCAGCTTTTAGATTCCTCCCTTGCATTTCAATTGCTTTGCGCATAAAAGCTGGTCTACCAGTTTAATCCCATGAGGGGGTGCAGCTGCTGATTTGAAATTTAACCCCAGGACCTATATCTGAAGACACGTTTGGGTGAAGTACCCCACTTTCTTTTTTTAAAAAAATATTTTTTTTTAGGTGTAGATGGACACAACACAATGCTTTTATTTTTATGTGGTGCTGAGGATAGAACCCGGGTCCCACCCGTGCTAGGTGAGCGCTCTACTGCTGAGCCACAATCCCAGCCCTGAAGTACCCCACTTTCTAATGAAGCCTGAAAATAAGTGGGTTTGACACCTTCCTGGAGTTCATTACCTCACCCTCCTATACTCCTCCACATCCACTCTCCATGCTGGACGTTGGGTTCTGTGGATTTGAAGACATCGTTGCACTTTTGAGGTCTCAGCCTGGTGAGGAGGGTGGGGTGAGAAGAGGATGAGGGCTTTCCTACCTCAAGCCAATTGGGGGTGCTCCAGGAAAACCCCTCGGGGAGACTGGGGGTATCAGTCTGGCTCGCAGTAGGAAAGACGTGGCACACTCAAATCAAGTCACTCCGAAATAGTTGGAGACTTTTTTTACAAGGGGGGGGGGCGGGTGGGCTGGTATTTGAAGGGCTCTATGTCACCGGGCATCACTGTCCAGGTTGTCATGGCCAGACAGGGACTGGGAGAGAGGGTGGTGGCAATACCAGAGAAGACATGCAGTCTTTGTTCTTCCCACATGGGAGGAGAGAGGGACCAGAGCCGGAGTGAGGAGGGCCTCCTGGCACAGGGAAGAGGGTGATCATTAAATCAAGTACGGATTGAAAATTTAAACTCAGCTGAACTCTGTTACCCCAAGTGACTCAAAATGCTGGAGTTTGCCAAATGCTCAGTTTAAGGATGGGAAGGGGAAACTCCCATCACCATTGCAGGCGGCAGGATGGGAGGAACAGCAGCTGTGTGTTGGAGCCTTACTGTGTCCCTCCTGTTTGGTAACCTGGGCAAAGGGCTTCATGCCATCTGACAGAAGGAAAAAACTCGGTTTGTTGCCACAGGAGTAGTCATAGCAGACCTGGGCCTGACCCTGCCTCCTGCCTCAGATATCCAATGTGTCTCACCCTCCTCTTTCCCCAGAGCTGAATACACTTGAACTCTGAACTCAGTACCAGCCAAAGCTGCCATCTTCTTTCAGGCTGCAGTAACAAAACACCAGGTGGTTTATGAACAACAGACATTTATTTCTGACAACTTTGGAGGCTGGAAATCCGAGATCGGGGTGTCTGCATGGTTGGGTTCTGGTGTGGGCCCTCTTCCAGGTTGCAAGCTGCCAAATTCTTGCAGTAAGCTCATACGGTGGAATAAGGTAAGAGAGCTCCCAGGGTCCCTTTCTAAGGGCTCTACTATTATTTGGATCCAGAATGTCCCCTAAAGCCTGTGTGTTAAAGCTTGGTCCCCAGTGCGGTGCTACTGGGAAGTGCTGAAATCTTTAAGAGGTAGGACCTCGATATGGGTTGTTGCTCATGGTACAGCATCGCCTAGCATGCCCATGAGGCACAGGGTTTGATCCTCAGCACCACATAAAAATAAAATAAAGATATTGTATCCAATTAAAACTAAAAAATAAATATTAAAAAAGAGGTGGGACCTATTGGGAGATTATAGGTTACTGAGGGTGTATCTTTGAAGGGGCACCCCCTTCCCCTTCCACTCCTTTGTTTCCCTGACATGAGGCAAATGGTTTTGCTCCACCAGGCATTCCTGCCATGATGTACCACTGCAGTGCCCGAACTACAAAACCAACAGATCATAGATTGAAACCTCTAAAACTGTGAGTCAAAATAAACCTTTTTTCCCCTACAAATTGGTTATCTCAGGTATTTTGTTACAGTAATAGAAAGTTGACCAACACAGACATTAATCCCATTTGTGAGCACTATACTCTCTTGACCTAATTTAACTTCTCAAGGCCCCCACCTCCTAAAACCATCACCTTGCCAATTTGGATTTCAACAGGTGAAGGACGCATTTACTCCTTAATACCTACTTTTGGTAAAAATGAGAACAAAATGGGGAATAACAGACTTTAAACTCAGGTCCCTGCACTGAATTCATTGTTCCACTGTCAGAACCCAAGAAGTAGCCCTGCTACCCATACCACTCAGGTTTATTCCCTGGAGGCACATCCTAGACCTTCGAAGGTGGAAGCACTCAATTCCTCTGGACACAGACTGGAGTTAATGAGGAAGCAGGAGCAGTCATAGAGCCCTGGGCTCATACTAGGCTCCATCCTGACTGCTATGTGACCTTGGATGAGGCAAAGCCCTCTTTGAACCTATAGTCTCACTCAGCAGCCAAACAATCCCTGGGGTCCCTGCCAGGAAAGAAACTAATTTCAACTGGTCATGTGCCTCAGAGTTCTCACCTGCTGTTCCATAGTAGCCTTCAGGAGTTAACAGTTCAAGGAAATGATGTCAGGATGAGCAGCAGGGTAGGGAGGTCCAGAGGGTAGAGTAGGGGATATTTTGGGGCGGGTGGATCACCCACTCAATGCCGGACAATGGTCCAGGGTGGTCATTGTGCTGGGAGTGGAAAATCCTTTTCTGACTCCCTCTGCAAAGGCTGAAAATAGTCTAGGGGAGTGGATGGAACATGGTTCTACCAAAGAGTGACTGTCCCCGCCTGGCCCATTGTTCCTGGTTGGGACAGGGCCGAGACAGACACCTGGCTGAGCTGGATCCAACATAGGCAAGCCCAGAAAGCCCTTCCAGAAGGAAGAGGAGCTGAGCAGAGTCCAGTGTGATCCAGGATGGGCACCTGAGGCCCGGAGAGGAGAAGTGGCATGCCCAGGCACAGAGCAGCAGGGCAGAGGAGGGTAGGAATTTTCCTGGGGGGCTTGATTCCCACACTTCCCCTCACCCCAACACAACCCCCCGCCCTGTAGCCCAGTCACTCCTGATCCAGCTCCGCCCTCCGCTCACTGGAGGCAGGAGCAGCCCAGCTTTCTAGAGTGTGGCACTGTGTGGTGGCCATGATCACTCTGTCTCTCTGGTCACTTGAGCCTGGGAGGGCTCACTGCCAGTCCCCTGAATTGAGAGCCCAGTGGGCTTGGTTGTTCGTGACCCTGAAGGTGTAGGCAGCAGTGGTTGCCTTCCCTGAGGTGGGGAAAACTGGAATTGGGAAGCGGCAGCCCAGAGAGAGAGGCAGGTGGTTTCAGGTCACACAGCAAAAGCTGCCCAGTCATTGCCCCCTCTAGACCAACTCCAGGCCACTCCTCCCATCCTGGATCTTTGTTGAACCAAGGTGTGGCTGCAGACCACCATGGTGGGCACTGCCAGCGAGAAAGGAATACCTAAGCCTGCTGCCAAGTGGGCCGGAGCTCTCTACCCCAAAGGGGCTGGCTCCTGCAGCTTGAATCAGGGGTACTTTCCTCGGTTGCTTCCGCCTTCCACTGTCCCCTCTCTGTTGCCCTCCAGATAGGCACCTGGAAAAGTTCTGGAAATATATACAGGCTTGTGTGCCTGAAAGCCACCAGGGCCAGGCAGGGCAGAGGGAGGGCCACACCTCAACCAGGATGTTCCTGCTTCCCTCCTCCCACAGCCTGGGGAAACCTGAGCCTCAGGGGTACTGGGCATCAGGCCCCCAGGGGCTGCTCGCTGGCCAGGCACACTGTCTTCTTCTTCAAACATTTATCTCAGTGTGTGTATTTATTAAATTACATCAACCTGGGGAAGGTAGCCCCCCCACCGTCCCACCCCCACTTGCCTCCATGGCCCCTAGTTCAGCGTCAGGTGTGGAAATACCACATGCCAGGCACTGCACTAAGCGCTTCGTGGGTCACTCAGGTGAGCTTCCTAAAGCCCTACAAGGAAGGTAGCATCTCATTTAAATAAGGAAATCGAGGCACTACAGGATTAACTCACCCAAGGTGCCATGGTTGGAAAATGGAAGGTGACATTGCAACCTAGGTGGGTCTTGGTGCAGAATCTGGGCTCCTAACCCCATCCCTGCTGGACGGGCTTCCTGGTTCTGAGTCATGCCAAGGGTGGCATCCAGACCCTCCTGCCCTGCAGAGGTTGAGTGGTGTGGGACACTGGGAAGGGAATCATGGGAGCATCAGGGGGCCCTGGTCTCACCTGCTGTGTGTGTCATCTGGAGCAAGCCCTTGGCTCCCCTCTCCTCTGTCCTCACTGCTAAATGCAGAGGCTAATATCCACTGCTCGGGGTGGGCATGGAGGATAAACAACATGATGCCTGGGAAAGTCTTGCATGGTGCTTGGGACATGGGTCAATACCTGAGTCCCCAGCCCCACCCCATCCCCCGTGTGCCTGATGTGAAACAGACCAGCCCAAATCTGCCAAGATGATGTGGACAGAAAGGCAGCTTTGGTGGCTTGACCGGGAACTAGACTGGAACAGCCATGTGTGGGGAGCATGTCATCGAGGGTCTTTTTTAATCTTGGAGGTGGGACTGTCCTGTGGATCCCCCTGAGTTAGGGGATGCCTGCCACCCAGGGGAGAGACTCCCATGTGCCAGGGGCCATGCACTGTCACACAGAGGTCACTGAAAAAGCAGCTGCAGAGAGGCCAGCAAGCCTGACTCTCACCTCACTCCTTCCGGCCCCCTGCCTATGTCCCTGGCCTCTGCCCCTTGGCTCTGGGAAAGAGCTGTGCAGTGTGGGTGACACAGGATTCCTACACAGGCACTGATCTGCTCCAGACTGGGTGGCACAGCCGCAGGAGCAGTCTGAGCCTCTGGCCCACATCCAGGCGCCACGCTGACCTGCTCAGTGACCTTGGACAAGGCCCCGCCCCTTTCTGGCCTTGAGGCCTGTGGCTAGGCTGGAAAATCCCTGGGGTCCTGTTAGCTGGCTGGGCGACTCATGTGGCCTTTCACAGTGTCCTTTAGTAGTCAACAGCCCTAGGAAGTGATGTCAGGGTGGGGAGAAAGGGAAAGGGCAGGGAGGTCCAGAGGTTAGGGGAGATATTTTAAGGATAGGCAGGTCACCCCACGTCACTGTTGGACAATGGTCTGGGGCCAGGAGTGGAAAATCTTGGTCTTACTTGGGCTGAAAATAGCACAGGAATCAGAGGAACCTCAGCCACCAGGCGTGTGGACTGGGCACTGAGCAGCAAGGCCAGATGTCCATATAGAGGGCCAGACAGTCTGGTTGGGGTCTGGAGATGCGACCCTGGGTCCTGTCCTTGGGTCCCCTAGGGGCTCCATTTCTCATCCCACTCATGCCTGCCACAGGAATAGATGGTGGGTGAGCCACCTATCCCTCCAGTCCTAGACCCTTAGAAATCTGCAAGCAATTGTTCAAGGAAAGCTTCCTAGGGCCAAACCACAGCGTTGCCTGCCTCCACTTGGGGCACTGGGCTCTCAGGGTCTCTAGGGAAGCTGCAGGAGGGGTGGGTGGGCAGGACATGAGAGGAATGGGGACTAGGAGAATCCAGGGCCCTGGCAGCCAACCACAGATGCACAGTAAAGTGTCCCAAAGTCATGATGTGCAACTCCCCATCTCTAGGTCTCAGGAGGGGTGAGGGTCAGAGTCAGCCTTCACACTCTTGGCCATCAGAGCTTCTCGCCTCGGAGGGACTCCATATAAACACTGATGGGGTTCAGCCTGCACAGCAGTGAGTAGGAAAAGATAGGCTCTGGCCTACCAAAAAGACCCAGGACGGTCTGTGTGAGGTGGTAACCAAAAAAGCTCCAAGAAGCTCTGGCTACATTAACAAAAATATAGAACCTAGAATGTGGCAGGTGAACATCTCACACTCTTCTGGGCAGGTCACCCAGAATTGCACAATGCAAAGTAATCACTTGGGTCATGGCCTGTAACCAGTCCCTGTCACCTGAGGGAGGTGTCGAATGGGGCTCTAAGTAAAACAACCCCATGCCTATGGTACCAGCTACTCCAAAAGCTGAGGCAGGAGGATCACTTGAGTCCAGGAGTTTGAGGTCAGCCTGGGCAATGTAGCGAGACTCTCAAAACAACAAACATAAACAGAGCAACCCCTGGGGATGCCCTGCCTTTGACAAAGCAGAGTGGAAAGGGTGGTAGAGGTGGGGTGAGAAAAAGGGCCCTTCTCTTGGGCAGAATGGGCTCACAGGGCAAGGGTTCTCCTAGAGGGAGACAACTGAGCTCCTGTCCTGGAGGTCAAGAGTGAAGCCTGTTGTTCTTCCCTGGCCCTGGCCCTGTCTAGTTGAGCTCCATAAATCAGCTCAGAGTGGACCCAACACTCGTCACAAGTGAGACCCACCCCCTATGTTAACCCAGCTTGAACACCAACCATCAGCTGTAGCTGGGATTTTCCCAGAAGGCCAAGGCCTACATGGGAAGAGACGTGACTCTCTCTCTCACTTAGCCAGTGTAAAGGAAGCTTCGTGGTCGGAAAAAGAAGGAAGACTGGCTCAGCCTCCTTGTGATCTGGCCCCTGGCCTTATCTCTCTCTTGAGCCTGAGTGCCACCTGCCAACCTGCTATGGTCCCTGCACACCCACCCTCTACCTGCACATCTTTGCTTAGGATGTGTCTGGTACCTGGATGTTTCAGTGAACTGCTTTCTCAGAAGCCACAGCTCAGGAGCACCCACCACTCCAGCATTCCCTGACCTGCTGGCCCACAGCCCCAACCACTCAGCATCATCCCAAGACATGCTGGAGCAACTTGTACCTGTCAACAGTCAAATTTTCAGGAATTTTGCAAAGAGGTTCCCATTGCTTTGGTAATTTGAAATTGTGCATGGTAGGAATATTTGTATCATTGGCAATGCTACAAATAAGGGGTTCCCTGCTGCCAGAGATCCACTTAAAAGGTTTAACAATAACCAGCATATGACTGGTTGTTACCTAAATTGGGGAACTCCAAGGACTGGAACCCCACCTGACTCTTAGCACAGAAACCAACTGGCTTTAAAGTGGGAGAGCACCTGAGGCCTACAGAGGGATCCCTGCTGTGAAACTCCCCTGAAGCAGCCAGTGGGAGGCAGATGGCAGAAGAGAACAGGCTGGAGAAAGGCTTTTAAGGGGTGTTGAAACCCTCCCAGGCAGCATCCCCATCCTCTGACCAAACTACAGAGCACAGCTCAACAAGCAGCATAATCTTTAGTTTCAGTTACAGCCTCTAACTGTAGGCTGTAGGCTGGGAGCCTCCAGATGGGTTTATCACATCAGTTCCCAAATGTTCATCTCTCGGGCTAGGAGTACTCCTCTAAGCTGAGTCCACTAAGCACCTAGTCCCACCCAAGACTGCTGTGGGAGATCGACCCTGACTACTCACCAGGGCCCTCTGATTAACCTGTGACTCTGCTCCACTGTAGCTAGCTCAGGTCTAGACTGCTGTTTGACCCTGGTACATCTCCTTCCTCTCAGGGCCTTCTCCATTTGATTTGATCAGGCTGGATTCCAGTCTAGATACCTTGACAGGATCAGCCAGCTATCTGCATGGGAGTCAGGTGGCACTGGCCCTAAACATGTGTCTGTTTTGAAATCTTATTACCTAACACACATACAAATGATGGCAGTTGACTGTCTGGACCGTAAGGAAAGTATCCTGAGGCCCTGCCAAGTGACAGTCACAGATGGTCAATTTCTGGGTACACTGTCCCATTTGAACAAGCCCTGGTCCCTTACAGCTCCCCCCATATAAACTTGCACAGGCCTCAGGGGTCAGGTCCTAGAGCCGGATGTCCTTAGTGTTCTCGTTCCCAGCTGGTGTGGACTCTGTCCGCCTGGAGTCCTCACTGCTGGCTGACAAATCTGTCCTCTTGGCCTCAGTTCTGCCAGACCTGTGCAGGCCCAGCCTGCGCCGAGCCCGGGTGGTAGGGTTGGGGTCTGTGGGTGGCTTCGCATCTCGGGCAAAGCGGACAAGCCTCTGCCCGGCCAGGAAGTAGAGCACAGGGTCAAGGCAGCTGTTGGCGCTGGCCAGCGGCCGGGTAATCTTATATGCCATGTTGATGGCATTGAGGGTGTGGCAGCTGAGGTCAAGCGAGCGGAAGGAGTAGTAGAGGGTGCGGGTGACGTGGAAAGGCAGGAAGCAGAGGGCGAAGACAGCCAGCACCAGGGCAATGGTGCGCACCGACTTGCGCTTGGCCCGCGGCAGGCCTCCTGTGCTCCCATAAGCTGGTTGAAGCAGCCGCCGTGCCATGAGCACGTAACAGACCAGGATGGTGGCAAAGGGCACGGCGAAGAGCACACCTAGCATGACGGAGCTGTAGGCCACAAAGTGGCTAAAGAGCTCAGGGGCCGAGGTGTCATGGCAGGTGATGCGGCTCCCACGTGCGCTGGTGGTGACAAAGTAGAGCACGGGTGCCTGGCAGGCCAGCACCAACACCCACACCAGCGCTGCCACCCGGCGGGCGTAGCGGGCCCGGCCCCAGCGCAGGGAGCGTAGAGGGCGCAGGACCCCCAAGCACCGGTGAATGCTGATGCAGGTGAGGAAGAGGATGCTGCAGTAGAGGTTGGTGTAGAAGAGAAAGCGCACCAGCTTGCAGAGCACCGTGCTGAAGGGCCAGTGATCGCCGCGGGCGTAGTAATAAACCAGCAGCGGTAGGGAAGCCGCGTACAGAGCGTCGGACACAGCCAGGTGGAACATGTACGTGGTGGAGGCGTTCCAGGTCTTGAGGCGGCACAAGAAGATGTACAGCGCCACGACGTTCAGACATAGCCCGAGCACGCACACTACGCCGTAGGACACAGGCAGCAGCACGTATTTGAAGTCCTCGTTGAAGCGGCACCTGTAGCCCAGCTCATCCCCATCCCAGGTGCTATTGATGGTGTCATTCCAGAGGTCCAGGCCCACCTCCATCACCCTGCGAGGAAGGGAGGGTTGAGAGGACCGCCATCAGGGTCAGGGTTCGGGCTCTGTGGGAATGCCTGACTGGTGCCCCTGACCAGGGCCAGGACAGACACAGAGGGCTCACAGATTCCCTTGTTAAGATTTGCCTAGGTTCAAGGGCTTTCTTTTTTCTTTTTTTTCTATCTGGTTAGCAGCTCTCCCTGGACTCCAAATCTCCAAACCCTGAAACCTCAAGAATGCTTCAGATCCATGGATATCAGCCTCATGTAATTCTAAAACTCACAACAGAAGTTGGCAAATGGCCTGTAGCCCACCGTTCTTTTTTTTTTTTTTTTTTTTTGGAAGTAGAGTTTTAGCTTTATTGGAACACAACAATACCCATCTGTTTACAGAGTTGAGTGGGTGTGACAAAGGCCATATGTCTTAAAAAAAAAAAAAAAAAAAAAAGTGTTGTTCCTGCTCTGCAAGCTCCAGATCAGAGGGTTTGAAACCTAGGATTCTGAGCTTTGGAACATGAGGATCTGGGGTTGCAGAGGGGGATAATTTCATGTACATGGGAAGGGGCCTTCAAGGCTGTATGGATCCAGTGCACACCAAGTGCCCTCTGCCTGCTCAGGGGTCTCTGGCCAGGGCAGCCCAGCTCCTTTGGAGGCATCCCAGGGCTTCCTTAGGTTCATCTTCCCAGTCTCTGGGGAGGCCGACATATTTCCTTCCTCAATCATTCACTTCTCATTCAACATATTTTTTAGGTATTCCTATATTCTGGCACTTTCTACATCTATACCCAGCAGTCCTGATCCCCAGCCTGTGGGGCTACCAGATGGGACAGTGACCTTCCTAAAGAGTCCAGGGAAGATATGGGGATAGAGAATGGAACTTTTTTCATGGAACAAATCTAGCCTCTTCTGGGCACAGCTAGTTTCTCTTTACATACCATCATAATCCTGACATTCCCCTACCCTGTCCCTTGTGGGTGTGGGTCACACCCATGGGGTCTGAGCTCCACTTGCCTGGAGGGCAGATGCCACCAGTAAGAGCTCCCTCAGCTGGGAGGCAGTGGACAGATATCCTGGTCCGAAAGGCAAAGATATGCCCCCCAAAGTCCCAGAAGGCAGGATGGAAATCATCGCAGGAGCCCCTGATGGGAAGACCCTCCTGAACCTCAGCCCTCTCATGGGTCAAATCCCCAGCCTTGGAGAAATACAGCCTCCAAACTTCCCTCCTCACCCTGGTCCTTCCCATGCTGCTGTTCTGCTCCTGCTCCAGTGCTGACGGCCTTGTCTCCCCTCAGAGGCAGGGTCAGGGCCCTCAGCATCCCTTCCTAGTCAACAGCCCATTGCCCTGCACCAAATTTCCTGCTGGAAACTAATGGTGGAATCTCTGACACTGAGAGGAGGGGTGGAGACTTCCCTGTCTCCCAGTGAACGGAGGGAGCTGCCCCTTCCACCTGCTTTAAGACATCCTGGCCTCCACCCTCCAGGCCAGCTGGCGACTCCATCACTGTGGCCCTGGTCCAGACTGACCTTTCCCACCCTCTCCCTCCACAGGCTGACTCACCAACTGTGAGACCATCTTCCTAGCCTCCAGTCCCTACTTTAGGAAGATAGCTATGTCCCCAGCCCTTTCCCTCAGGCCTCCCCTTTGCCTCTCCTGATCCCTGCTGCCCTGGACCCTCACCCTGAGCTCTGTAGGGACTGTTCCACCAGACTTTTGTCACTGGTCCCTCTCACCACTCATTGGCTCCACTGTGCCCAGTTCTGGCTGGCCCAACCCTGAGGAGCTCCCATTCTGGAAAGAGATGTGAGCTGTTTGAGGGCCCTCCCAGGCTTCCCTGACTTTATTCATGCTGTACTTTCTGTCTAGAAATTCTTTCCAGAACCCACACACACTGCACCCATCCTACCCAATGCTCCAGGTTCTTCTAATGTCACCACATGATTAAAGCTCTGCCCCTCTCAGGCACCTCCTCAGGCTGTTCCTCAGGTCTTGTTAGTAATTAATTGGTCCTTCCAGCTCTACCTCAATACATGCTAGGTGCTCTTTGAGGGCTGATTTCTGTCCCTATGACCCAGCAAGAGACCTGATCACAGCAGCTACTGCAGGAAAGAGAATGAATGAGCCAATGAGTTAAAGAAACACAACAGGTTGTGAGAGCCCCAAGGAGCTGAGATTGATGGAGGTGCCTCTCCTTTCTCTCTCTCCTCATAGGGCCTATAGGAGGACAGTGATACATAAAGATTTCTCTTTGGTGGTCAGGGGTCAGTGTGGCTCTTCTGGTGGCCCACCCTGCCCAGGGCCTTCTCCTGCCCCTGGACTATCCCTCCTTCAATAGCTGCAGGAGCCCAGAAGACCTTGCCCTTCTCTGGACAGGCCAGGAAGGCATCCTACAGATGGGTCAGCTGTCTAAGGTGAGTCACATGCTTTTACCTGGCCCATCTCTGATTCATAGTTTCCCATCCTGGAGTCCCCTCTGCTATTCTTCTTGCTCTGTTGTAGCCAGTCAAGGCCGAGCAGCTTCCATTAAGCATCTTCACGAATCCCTCACTCCCACCCCTTGGTAGATACTGCCATAGAAGTTAAGCTGTTTGTTCAAGGTCACACTGCCAGGAATTGGAAAAACTAATCTCAACACCAAGGGCTGAATCTCAACACCGAAGCCTGAATTCATCACACCCTGGAACAAAGAAGCAGGGCAAGGCACCAGCCTTAGGATTCCCTCAGTCTAACCCAGGTTTAGTTCATTCACTTAGACAACATGTCAGCACCTGCCCAGCCTCCCAGCCAGTAGACCCACCTCACACACCTGTACCTGACCAGGCCCTGCTCTCACCTTCAGGATGCTCAGAGGCTGCTCAGGTTCCTCACTCATGAATGCACAGGCCTGGATCTGCCGCAGGGAGCTCTTCTGGCAAACAGGATAAACTGGTTCCCCGGCCTCTGGCCTTGCCCAGCCTCCAGCATTTTTCAGGGCAGACAGCTACAGCAGGGGCTCCTGCAGACACACAGAGTTGGACAAGGGAAGCCAACCAGGCCAAGTACCCCTAGGGCTCCCTCCTCTGTTCTAAATTTGGACCCCAAAAGACAGAGAAGTGATCGGATGTGCTTATCCTGGATGCACATCCACACACACCCCATTATCTAGCCCCAGCTCACACGCTCCAGGGAGCATGTCTGCAGCCCCCTTCCCAGGGACCCCCTTTCACAGGATGGAAGACCTCTTTCCATGTCCTGCAGGGCTGAGCCAGGCCTCCATCGTCCCCTCCCTCCATCTGGGTTTTGTGCTTTAGACAGGAAATGGTCAATACTCTCCTTGCCTAGTACACACTCTGTGGAACTTCTGCCAGCACATTTTTGCCTAAGCTGGGTCTCTAAGTAGCTCAACTCCCCACTCATGCCTCTAGTCATATCTCATGGGTGTTACACACACATACGGTCCATCTGAACACACAGGCACAGACACAGAGATACATGGAGGTGTGCAAATCCACTTTTTAAAAAAATATATTTTTTAGTTGTCAGTGGATCTTTTATATTTATTTATTTATATGCGGTGCTGAGGATCAAATCCAGGGCCTCATACATGCCAGGCAAGTGTTCTACCACTGAGCCACAACTCCAGTCCCCAAACCTGCTTTTGATGAGGAAACAGTCCCAAGACCTCAGGGTAAATCAAGGACAGAGTTGAGATTAGAACCTGGGCCTTCTTGTCTCACCTGGGAGCCTCATACACACCAAACCCCGGGCTTCCAGGAGGGGATGGTTGGCAGTGGAGGAACTCCTCTGTATGGGCAAGTCCCATCACCCATGACCTCAGACACGACACAGCAGAAGAATGTGCCTTTCTGGAAAGATCTCTTCCCATCTGCTTCATTTCCCTAGAATGGAGGTGGAGAGGTGAGTGGCTACAGGTGTAGGGCCAGGAGGGAGCCAAGGGAAGTGCCTCTGGGCACTGTGTGACATGGGCCAGCAGGCTGGTTATTATCTGCCTGTCTGCTCTAGAATCCAGTGACAAGATGAAGAGCTTCATCTCTTCACCCCACTCCTCCCAGGCACACACCTCTCTCCTTTTGAGGAAATGCCTCCACTCAGTCAGCGGAGGAGCACAGCACTTCTTCAAGGTCATTCCCCCGTTTCTGAGGAGGGCCTCTACCAACCTTTCAGGATTCACCTTCGCTCTCCTCATCCCACTGGAAGCCCATCACTCACCAAGTCCTGTCAGTCAAGCAAGAGAGTCCTCCAGATAAGCCCTGTGTGTTTTGTGCACACGCACAGCCCTGTGCTTCTCTTCCAGACCACCAGCCTCTTCACAGGACTCCTTGCCTCCACCCCTGACCCTCTGTCCAGCCTTGATGCTGCAATCACATGAGTTTCCTAAAACTCAAATCTGACCATGTGCTATGAAGCTCAAAATCCTTCCATAGCTCTCTAAGTCCTTCAGGATAATGTCCAAGCTCCTTAACCTGGCACTTAAGGACCTAGCTGATCTGGTTCCTGCCATCCCTCCAGAAAACTCCACCCTCATCCTCTAGTCTCAGCACAGCAAAAGCAGTCATATGGCATATCTTGCTTGGGAACAGCCTTCTTTATCTTCTAACAACTTTATTGTAACACAAGTGAAGTGCTGTCTGTGTCAAGTTCTGTGTTAGACAGTTCATATACCTCTTCTCATTTAATCCTGAGACTTAGAAGGGCTAAATAACACCCCTCCCCCCAGGTTTACAAAGCTAGCAATGGCAGAAAACTCTGATCTGACTTCAGAAACTGTGTCTCTGACCATGGCCTCCTATCCGGCAAGGTCCAGGCCCTATCTACAGGAAGCCGACCACCCCTCTTTGAGCCCCATGGCTCTGTCTGGTCAGGTCTCCAGCAGAGGAGTGCCCAACTGATGTTTCCTCCTCTTAGTACTTCCCTAGTGTGAAGTGGCCAGATGGTTACTGCACCCATCTCACACATAGAAAAACTAAGACCAGAAAGGAGTAATTGAAAGTCTTGGCCAAGGTCACCAGGAAGTAAAGAGCCAAGCCAAGCCTAAGGGGGTAAGCCTACTTCCTGACCTGGCTCTGTCCCTACTCTAATCTGGGTCTTTCTGTGGTCCTAGGCTAGTGAGCCCAAAGCCAGGAGGAGGGACAGAGGCAGTTCCCAGGCTGGCTGCGGAATTTCCAGGGTGGTTAGACGACATTCCAGTTCCTCCACTAGGGTGACTCTGGAATGTGCCACCCGCCTGACTGGTGGACCCTGTCCAGCCTGGCAGGGGAGAATGTCCTGTCACTACTCTGAAGACCCCCGCTGCCAGTCACTGCCAGGGGCGGGATGCTGTGATGAAGACACAATCAATGGGCCTAGAATGGCATCAAGGGGGCAGGAGGGAGTACTGGGCAGATGGGAAATCCTGCCATTCCCAATTGTAGGTCCTGGACAAGTCTTGCAATTCCAAAACCCAAATCTCAACTTTCTTTTTTAAAAAATAATTTAATAATCACTTTATTTTTTTTTTAATGTGGTGCTAAGGATCGAACCCAATGCTAGGCAAGCGCTCAGCCACTGAGCCCCAGTCCCAGCTCCTCAACCTCCTCTTGATAGAAGAATAGAAGCTTCCCCTAGCAGGGAAGAAAGGATGGTCAGGGAAGGCTTCCTGGAGGCGAGGACCCTTACCTGCATTTTACAAGATAAGTAGGAATCAGGTGGTTAGACAGAGTGGAAGAGAGTGAGCAGAAACCAGGGCAAAGACTACAAGAACTGTTCATCATCCTTGTAGTTTGGGAACAGTGAAGGACAAGGCTGGGCTGCACGGGATTAGGAGATAAGAAGTCACCCTGTACCCTTCCAAATGTCCTCCAAGGGGTCAATGTTCAGCAGGCTCCTCAACCTTGCCTGGCATGTTGCAGTAGGAGGAGCTGGCCTGGGGACACAGATGATGGGTGACCCAGATGACCCAGGTGACCCAGGGTGCAGTAGAAAGCCTCCCCTGAGCTCTGTAAACCTCTCTTGAAACTCTTGCCCTCTTGGGAACCCCCACAGAGTGTGGGGACCTCGCACGGAGGCTGAGGTCAGAGCTTGTGAGTGGGCGGGTTTCAGATCAGCCAGGCGAACAGATCAGGAAACTGAGATGCTAAAGAGGCAGAGCCTTCTTCAGCCAGGCTGGGACCAAACCACCCCTCCCACCCAGGCCCAGCACTGCCCTGCACAGGGCTATAGAAACCAGCTCCCGAATTGAACGGTTCAGAAACACAATGCCCTGGGCTCCTCTCCTATCCATCACCCCAAAACTCTGCCAGTCAGACTCAAGAGGCAAGACCCTGTGTTTGGGCTCCAACTTGGAAACATCTATGCTGTGCATTCTTGGTCAAGTCAGTCTCCCTTTCTGAGCTTTGGGCTCTTTGATGATCAAATGGGGAGAATCACTGCTCCATGGAATAGCTCATGAGAAACAAGTAAGACAAGAGGCAGGTGGGCATTCCATGGTGCTGGCAAATTGTCCTAGTGTGGAGGCTGCATCTGCCCATCATAGTGGAGACACCGAATTCCAGAAGCCGGTGCTACTTCTCAACTGGGTCCCTCTCTAGTGCCCCCGGAGGGGCAGAAGTCATGGTCAGAACAGTCAGTGAGGCTCCTGGAAGAGGAGCTATGATCAGGTTTGAAGGTGAGCAGGAAGGGTCCAGCTTGGCAGGAAAGGAGATGGGAGACCCCAAGTGAAAAAGGGACAAAAGCATAGAATGGGATCTATGCGAGGCTGTATGTCTGAGATGGTCTCAGCTCCAGGATTCCAAGTTCATTGTTCTCAGAGTCCAGCTCTTCTCAGAGTGAGTGCTGTTTCTTCAGTCTTGTTACTTATGGTTCTGATGGGCTTTGGTTTGAGATCCTCAGAACTACAGGAGTCTGCACTCAAGAGTAATCACAAGTCACATTCCCAGGAGCCATGAAGTCCCAGCAAGCCAGTGCCCTTGTGTGCCCTGCTTTACAGGGATCCTGTGAACTCAGCCTCATGTCATGCTCTATAGGGCCCTTGAGGAATGCCCATTCTAGCTAGGGAAGAGACATTGACATGGACCCAGTCCACCTGGGTGATGAAGACACAATCAAGGGGCCATGGAGCCCAGAGGAACTCCCAGCCAGCCAGAGGTGCTCAGGGAGAACTTCCCAGAAGAACTGGCACTTGGTAGATGATTAGGAGTTTGTCAGGTGGACATAGAGGTGGGAGGACACAGAAGGCAGAGGATGTAAGTGCTGAGACTCAGCAGGCAAGAGTATAGCCTGTTAAGGAAACACAGGTTGTGTGTGGCTGGCATGCACCGTTAGGTGGCATGGAATGTGTAGGGGCCCGAGGAACTCATATAAAAGAGCTCAAAGACCAGGCTGAGGAGCTGGGCCACTATTCTGGCTTAAAAGGGTAAGGTCATGGTCAGAGTTGACCTTTACAAAGATGGTGCCACATGTAAGGTATAGACAGAACTAGGGGGTCTGGCGGGAGGGAGATGAGGGAGGAGACATATAAGAATATGGTAAGAAGAACTGTTCTTTGACCCTGGACTCTCTGCTAGATGGGTAGCATCCTTCCTCAGCACCCCAACCCACCCATGGTAAGTCTTCCTCCTACAAAGTGGGCTGGGAGGCTGGACACTCACCAGGAAGCCATAGGAATACAAGTCTAAGGGAGGCCCCCAGTGCACAGACCTCTTCTCTGAGGAACTGCAGTGACAGTGACAGGGTACCAGGATGGAAGATCAAGAGCTGCCCAGAAGGGCTTGGGCTGCTCACCCTCCCACTAGGGATTCCTGCTATTTATCCCAGGACACACATGACCCAGGCCTAGGAGACTGGGTGATGAAGAAGTATAAGAACTCTTCTGTTCAAGGACACCCTCTGTGTGCCAGGTGATAGGGACAGGGTAAGAAAGCAGGGATGACTCAGCCTCGACCTGCAACTGGCCCCTCTCAGGGATGGGTACAGAGGTCAAGGAGAGTCCCATAGCCAGCTTCCCTCCATCAGCTTTCCTCCATCAGTACCCAGTGGTAGGGACAGAACAGGCCTGAGATTCCAAGGGCAGCCCAAGAGGAAGGTGTGAGATAAAAGGCTTATAGAATGTAGTTAGAGGAGAAGAAGGATTCCATCAGGGGCACCTCTGCCTCCCCTCACCAGATCTGCAAGGCTCCCCTGGCCCTATGAGCAGAACTGAGCTGGCCTTATCTTGTCAGTAGCTAGGTAAGCCATGAAAACAGGTTCCCAGGAGAGGATTCAAACTCCTTTCGGCTTTGAAGGTAGAGGACTTGCCTTGCCTTGATGGGGCTTCTGTCTTGGATGGGGCAAGTAGGCAGGAGGCCCAGATTTCACTGGGCTTTGTGATCTCAGGGAAGATACTCCCCAAACCTCTTTATTTCCTCATCTGCAACACGGAGATAATAATTCCTTTCTCACAGGGCCATTGGAGGATAAAATGAGGGTTTTTTAAAAAACTGTTACTATCAAGCTATCTTTGTAGAGGGGGTCATGGGGAGAGGAAGGCATTCAATAATTAAATTCCCATAACCAACACAATCCCTTGTGATTGCACCTGTGTTCTATTATGCTCTTCAAAAGACCTTTGAGTATCATGCTCCTCCCCATGCACTGCATTGAGTTGACAAAGCCCTTTACTGGGCTGGGAGTGTAGGTCAGTGGTAAAGTGCATCCTTAGCATGCACAAGACCTGGGTTCAATCCACAACACACACACACACACAACACACACACACACACCAAGCCCTTTCCTGGCCTCTATCTTAAGAATCCTCTAAGCCCACTCCTTGCCCAGCTCTGAATCTACACCAGTGCCAGTCGGACCAGCAGCGTCCCTGGGCTGCACCCACCAACCTCTTCAAGGATCTGATCTCCTTCAAAGAGGCAAGGATCAACATTCCCAATTTATGGGCGGCAAACTGATACTTTGAGAGGCACAATTACATAATGGGTTACAGCCATGAAATCAAAGCTTTTGTTGGGCTCATGAGATCTTGGTGATGACCTCATGTTCTCTTAGTTGTCTTTGGGGGAACTGGGCCCTGTGCATCCTGTGCAAGATGGGGACAGGAATGGAGAGGTCACAGCCACACTCTTTAGGCCAAGTTCAACAGCCATTTCTGAGGGTTGCCCAGTGCTCCCCAACCCTCTGTCTATGCCCCAGGACAGCCCAGGCAGAGAGGAGAAAGAGTGACAGGACTTTTGTGCCAGGACTTCTCCCTCACTCCCTAACCCCACACTCTCACATGCAAGACCTTACTGGTCCTTTTAAAGGGTAGCTGCTCAAAGAACCTCCTTTCTCCTATTCTCACCACAGAAAATTGAGACTTCCCTGGGGTTCAAATCCGATCCTCAAAAGCTCATCATATTCTAGCCTAGCTCCAAAGCAAGACTGTGGACCCAGGGAATCTTGCAATGCTATGCTGAGAGGAATAGAGATCCCCCATCTTCATGAATCCCAAACTGGCAGAGCTAGTTTCTAGCAGGACCTGGTACTTGGGCTGGATGCCCTGGAGGGTGGGGGGTGGGGGCCAAGTCTGACACTGGCTGTCCTAGTGGGAGGGGGCACTGCCTTTCTCCTGACTGACCCTTTCTACAGCACCACCTGCCAGATTAAAAGTCTGCTGACAGATTAAAGTCTTAACTGTTCTTCCTCACCACTGCCCTCCTCCGCCCGTGCTACTGCCTTCCCAGTTTTACCAACGCTCAGGATTGGGGTGGGTGGGAGCCACCCAGAGCGATCCTGGGGGGGAGGACAGGAGTGCAAGAGGTCTTGGGAATTGCCTAGTCTCTGGCCGTCCCATTGCTCCAGGGGCTCCTACACCAAACAACAGTTTAGAGCGCGCACACACACAAGTTCAGATACTCTCCCCCCAGGGGCACTCACTGACACACAGACTTTCCCAATAGGCGGACATACACACCCTAGTCCGCGGTGGCTATCCACACTCACTGAGATCTACGCGCCAACGAAGACAAAGATCAACCACGGATTCACGGGGCGTCCCGCCGTCCAGTTACGCGCCACACTCAGGCTCGGAACCATGCCCTGGTCCGGCGGTGAGACACACACGGCCCATTCCTTGCCCAGCGCCGAGTCCGCACCCGTGCCAGTCGGACCGGCAGCGTCCCTGGGCAGCGCCCGCCAACCTCTCCGAGGGTCCGATCTCCTACTAGGCGGCCTGTCTCTTGCCTCCACGCTGAATTCGTCCGCCCCAGGTGCTGTGGCCGCTGTTCCCCGGTGCCGGTGCTGGTGCCGGCGTCTTGCCGCTGCGCAGGGTCCCACGTGCCTGGGAGCGCCGCGGCCCCCGCCCCGCCCCACCTCGCTCCCTACCCTGCGGCCTGGCCCCCGGGGCGGAGCGGACTCTGGACAGACCCCGGCACCGCCCCCACACGCCCGAGTAGATACCTCGCCACCTCGCCACCCGTCACCACTCTGGGGACGCCGCCCAGCCCCACAGTCGTGGGGTCAGCGCACCCGCAATGGGTGCTGCGCAGGAAGAGCAGGAAGACGGTCCTAGGACCTGGCCCGGCAGAAGGAAGAAGCCGTCAGACTCACTCAGAGGAGCAGGGAGCGCAGGCAGCTTGTGAGAAAAGATACTGAGAGACGCCAAAGTTTTACTAGGTTTGCAAGCTGGCCTGGCTCCTGTCATTACCCACTGAGGGACCTTCGCGACGATTCGAAGCCTCTATCCTGTTCCTGCCCCAGCACCTGTTCTCCTTGATGGGACCAACTCAGGTCACCACGCTGAGACCGGAAAGCCCAGGGAACACTCAGGTCTCTGCCTCTCTCTCCAGCCCCTAGTAGTGAAGGCCCTGTCCCTGTGCTCTCCTTCCCCTTCCTTCATTCCACCAGCAGGTCACCAGATTCCTCATTCTTTTTGGTCTCTCACCTTTAGCTGCTTTAATTCCCTTCTCTGCCCTCAACCCCACTCTGATGGCCTTATGTAATCGTAGACCGTATTTCTGTCCCTCTCCAGTCTGAGCTCAGGAGGGCAGGGACCAGGTGGCCCTTCTCCCTACTGCTATCCTAAAGGTCCTGGGAGGTGCTGTGTCCTGGCTTATGTGTAAGCATGAATGAAGGAGAGCCTCCCTACCCGGCCTCATTTCTGGTTTAGAAGTCAGGAGTGTAGATTCTGGCACTGACTCAGGGACTTTCAGCCACTGTTCCAGTCCCTCTCAGGGCCTCTTTGCTGTGAAAGGGAGCCATCCCACTCATCCTCCCACCTACCACTGTCCATCTATTGGCTCTTTGGATGGTCCAGTGGCTGGAAAAGTGCAGAACAGGCTTCTTCCTGTGGCCAAGGAGTTTGCCCAGGGTCCTGGGGCCTGACTGGGCTGCAGGTCAGCTGACAGGGGCCTGGCTGCCAAGCCCAGTAGGGGCCCCAAAGGATGCTGGCTGCATCCCTGCAGGAGTAAGAGCAGGGAGGGCATACAAGGCTCTGTGGCTAAGAAGCATCTGCAGTCCCCTGGGATTTGCTTGGGAGACACAAAGGCCCCTTGTCCTTCCTCCTCCGCCTGTTTTCCAGGCTGATCCATTTCAGTTTCCAGAGGCCTAGCTCTTCCCACATCCCCAACTTGTTGGGCCGAGGCCTTAGGGTCCCAGTGTGGGTAAGTCTTTTGGGCACTGTAATCTCTTCCAATCCCCTCTCCCTCTTCTCCCTTTCAAGCTATCAAAACTTCTATTGTGCCAGGTGTGGTGGTGCACACCTGTAATCCCAGCAGCTCAGGAGGCTGAGGCAGGAGGACGGTGAGCTCAAAGCCAGCCTCAGCAAAAGTGAGGTGCTAAGCAACTCAGTGAGACCCTGTGTCTAAATAAAATACAAAATAGGGCTGGGGATGTGGCTTAGTGGTCGAGTATCCCTGAGTTCAATCCCCAATACCCAAACAGAACAAAACAAAACAACAACAACAACAAAACTATTGTCACAGCTGTTTCCCCTTTGATATCAAAATGAAGGCCCAAGCCCAGCCTCCGCTTCTAGCAGACACGCCACAAAGTACTCAGTCCAGGGCTGTGCGTCCTCTGCTACGGTCCAACTCCCCTACTCTACAGCCAAAGGAACTACATCCCTGAGACTTTTGACACCTGACCCTCATCAGGCGATATAGTAAAGGGCCCTGTCCTTGAACCCCACCTCCTCTGGTTCAGATTCCTGTCTGGCCTCACTTCTCCTATGACTTCTCTCTGAGCCTCAGTCTCCTCTTCTGTAAAATGGAGTGTTAATAATAACCTTATTTGCTGGCCTGTCTAAAAGTTCTTTTTTCAGGGTTTTGCCCATCATCCTGAGCCACCCAAGTTCAAGGATTTGTATTCTTTCCAAGAAGAGCTGGGGGTGGAGATCCCCTGACACTTTGCCAGGCACTTCCTTCATGCAATTTTGGAAGTCATCAAGTCCAATGGGCTTCACATTCCATAGCAAAGTCCCCCTTACCGGGGCTGTCTGGGACCCTCCCATTCCACTTCAACTTATGCATTTGTGCTTTGTGTTTTTACTTATTTGCATTTCCTGGTAATTTGTTGAAAATACATAGATGATTCTATGGCTAAAAGAATTTAGAACCATTGATCCAACCAGGAAATTGAGGCCCAGTGAGTCACACAGCAAGTGCCTTCTAAAGGGGTAGAATAGCAACAAGAGAGTCTCTCTGGAACCAAGCAGCCTAATGGTAAAGGCCCAGGCACAGTAATAGTCCCCACGAGGTGGGTAATGGAGCCATGGGGGCACAGGGGAGGGCTCCATTAGCAGCAGTGGGTCAGGAGGGGCAGAGCAGAGCATGGCTCCCCGCTCCCACCATGCATTAGGAGGCTTCCTGCCTCTCCAGCCCTGTGGAGGCACTTGGCTCACCCGGGGCCTTCTCATCTTCCCTCTCTTCACTTCTCTCACCTCCCTTGAGAGAAACTTCTACAACTGCATACTGGGGTGGAGTCCTTGCTTGGCCCAGGTTCTAATCCTGTCGCAGACTAAGGGGGTGTCTCTGCCACTCCTCACTGCCATCCTTGCCTCATACTGCTTGGAGGCTCTGACATCCTCAAGACAAAGCCCAGCTCCAGACTGGCACTGTGGGCCCCACCTCTGTGCTTTGCCTTCTGCCAGCTGGGCTAAAGAGCGGAGCCCTTGCTCACCTCCTGCCTGGTACTTGCTGCTCCCTCTTCCTGCAACATCTCCTCTCGGCTTTTGACCTCCTCCTGGCTTCCAGCCATAGCTCCTCTAAGACCTAGCTCAGGTGCCCTGCCACTTGCCACACTGCTGTCTCTCTCAGTGCCTATCTCCTCCTTTATTGAGAACATGTTTGAGGGTAGGGCCTGGGTCCTTCCTGCACACAGATGAATGCCCAGTACCCTGTACTGTCCCAGTCACATTGTCAGCCTCCATGAGTATCTGTTGTGAGTGAAGGAGGAAGGACTCCATTTTGTGATCACATTCTTTGTGCTAGTCATGGTTAAGGCAGCCCCCTCCTTTGCCCATGAGATGGATATTATCATTCTCATGTTAATTTTAGGGAAACTGAGGCTAAGGAGGGTGAAATAAAAGTCCAAAATCATGCAGTGAGCCTGTAGTGAGTCTCCTGGCCCTGGAATGGCACCCTGTGGGAAGGAAGGCCCTGCTGAGTTCCCATAGAAATGGCTAGACCAAGCTATTGGGATCCACACTGGTGGCTCCAGATACACAGGGCTAGGTTGGCTCCAGCAGCCTGGCCTTCCTTGCTCCCTGGACTGCTACAGCAGCCTGCAGGCCAGGAACTGAGCTCCTCAGATTTCCAGGCAGGGGCCAGGGCTCGGATGCTGACTGCAGCCTGGTGGCTCTGGCTGTCAATCAGGCCAGAATGCAGGCCCCCAAGGAGGCAGCTCTGAGAAATAGGAAGCCTGGTCCAGGCCTAGGAAAACCTCCACTCTACTTCCCCTACAAGCAGAATCAGCTATATAATTTGTGGGACATAGGACAAAATGAAAATGTGGATACTCTTTTTCAAAAATTATTGAGAATTGCAAAATTGTGACAGCAGAATATTAAACAAAATTCAAGGCCCTTCCAAGCTTGGACCCCATGTAATTCTATAGGCCGTATGCCTGTGAAGCCAGCCTTACCCTTAGGCCTTGGTTTCCTCATCTGTCAAATGGGAGAATGGTAGCCTCTTGGCCAGACAAGGTAAGGATGAGGTAGAAAAGTAAGAAAAGTCCAGGGAACAGAGTGAAGGTTGGGTAGGGGTTCTCGTGAACATCACTTATTGTTTGGGTCTTAGCCCTGGGTACTGGATCAATTTGCACCACAAGTTTGATTCCTTACAATGGCTCCTTTTCATGGACTTAACCAGGGAGGGGCTCAGAGAAGCAAGATGCTTAGGGTTATGCAGAGACTCAGTAGGGAAAGCCAATGTCAGAGCCCTGGCCTGTCTCTCAGCAAAGCTGGGGCTTCTTGTAACACAGAAGAGACAGAGAGAAGAGAGGGAGAGGGAGAGGGGCAAGAGGGAGGTGGGAGGGTAGGAGGGAGGCTGCTCAGGACAAAGAGGGCCACTGTGTAAACACAAAGACCTAACCACAGAGGCCCCACAGGGGCTGGGCCAAACAGATGGACGGAGCTGTGTGGCTCTATCCATGGCGACCAGGGGAGCTGCCAGGAGCTGCCTCCCAGCCCCTCCCTAGCTGTGTACGTGTGGGGTGGGGGGCAAGGGGGCATGCAGAAGCCAGGAAATGGGTCACTGAGGAGAACCAGACTGAGGGCTGGGCCCTTTACACCCTGCCCCAGGCCTCCAGAGCCAGTGCTGCACACCCACCTGTCCCCAGCAACTCCAGGGCCTCGGCCTTACACTGTTACCCCCCACCCCCAGGGATGACCATCTGAAAGTCTTAACCTCACAGTCTTGCTTCTGATCACTCTCCATCACCCCACAAGGGATAATAAATAAACCCCTTGATGTGTCATTCAAGTTTCTTTGTGACCTGCCTGATCTTTCCGTACTCATCAGCCTCCCATACCACAGTCACATGTGACATCCCACCAGATGTCTCCGCCCTTCTTCTTTTATTTATTTATTTATTTATTGGTACTGGGGATTGAACTCAGGGACACTCAACCACTGAGCCACATCCCCAGCCCTATTTCTGTATTTATTTAGAGACAGGGGCTCCGTGAGTTGCTTAGCGCCTCGCTATTGCTGAGGCTGGCTTTGAACTCGCAATCCTCCTGTCTCAGCCTCCCAAGCCACTGGAATTACAGGCGAGTGCCACTGCACCTGGCAGCTCCGTCCTTACACACACAGCTCTCTGTTTGTTCATACTTTTCCTTTTTCCTGTGATGCTCTTTCCCCTGATCCATTGTGGGCTGAAATCCTATTTCTCCTTCACAGGCCAGTCCAGTGCCACCTCCACCAGCCAGCTTTCCTCCACCCCTTCAGTTGGATTTTACTTTACCCATTAACACGTTCATCTACTCTGCCACAGGGGCTGGGGCTGTAGCTCAGCGGCAGAGTGCTTGTGTGTGAGGCACTAGGTTTGATCCTTAGCACTGCATAAACAAACAAATAAAATAAAGGCATGCTGTCCATCTACAACTACAACAACAACAAAAAAAATCCACTCTGCCACAGATGTTGGGTTGCTCCTCTGTCTGCAGTGCTCATTGCTGCCGACTTCTGTTGGAGTCCTATGGATCCACAAAGCTGGCCTGGAAGGCAGGGGACATTGAGCTGGGCTTTGCAGGCAGGCATTCTGTGCTAGTCGGAGGCAGATGAAAGTAAGGAACAAGAGTGCTGAGAAGCAGTGTTGCCAGCCCTACCTCAAATTTTTTTCTGAATCAGCCGAGACCCTGAGTACTGATAGCAAGTGGCCCAAAAGGGCAGGAGCCAGGTGTGCAGGGGCATTGCCAGGGGGATAAAAAGTTAACAGGTTCTGAGGAACCAAGTCATGAAGGGTTTTTATATGCCATACTAAGGAAATGTTGTTATGTCTTGTTTAAAACACACCCAAATTTATTTCTCAGTTCTATGATTTACAGGTAATTAATTTCTGCTTTTATCTTTATTATTTGCTTCCTCTTAGTTACCTTGAGGTAGCTTTTCTGTTCGTTTTCTACAAGTTTATTAAAGCAAATGCCTATTTTATTTATCTACATAATCTTTTAAAATAATGTAAGCCTTTTAAGGCTATAATTTCCCTCTGAATTCAGCTTTGGCTGTATTACATTTATTTGAATACAGAAAGGTTTATTTATTATTATTTTATAACTAGTGGGTAATTGAAGTTTTAATTACCCTTTGACCCATCCCAAACTCTTTTTAGGGAAATACTTAGGTTTGGGAGATCTTTTTATTTTACTTTTTTCAGTTTAAATGAATTTAATTTTTAGACAGTCTACAGGACATTTTTTCCCCTCAAAAGCAATTCCTCTATTTCAAATAAATCACAGTTAAAATAAAGAGTTCAAGATGACATTAGTTCCATTTGTCTTAAGTCCTGGTAACCTGGTGATCTAGTGATGTGTGGATGAAAGTGCAGCCAATTATGACAACAGGTGAAAGTTCCAAAGTAATTGCCAGATTGTTTTTTGACATTTTCCCATTTCTAGGCCATCCTCAAAGAAAATCATGTATGGGGTCACGCTGTCCTCACAGTAGTCCAGCGAGCGATTCATGATTTCCCAAATAAAGAACTATCACAAAAGCCTTTATTCTTTTGGGTGTCTATTTAAGTTTGATTGATTCCATGGATTTTTATTTAACTGAGCTACACCCCCAGCCCCAATTTCCTGCCATCTTTAATGTACTTCCTATAGGCCTCTTTGGTGAAGCTGGTTTTCTGCAAGTGATAATTCCTGACTATCAACCCCAATGATCACTGTGCTTTCTGCACCTTGGCCCTTGCAAAGGCGTTTCCACCAATGAGCAGTCATCAACGTGATCCTCTGTCCTACTGATCTCCAGGCACAACCGTCCCTGCTCTTGCAGATCTTGTAAATGTCTGAGAATATCTCAGAGCTCTGACAGGGTCCTGGGTCCTTGTAGAGGACTGGGAGGACAGCGGGAGGAAACTGAGGGTGCAGCACCAGTTTAACCAAAGTGGGGAGCATAGCTAAAGCAGCAGAGGGTGGAAGGAGCCGGATGGGAAAAAAGCCTTTGTATTGTTTAAATGTGTTACGACTATCTAGTTATAACATGTAGGTACGTGTGGGAAGAAGGACTGTAAAGAAGGAGTAAAATCTATTGTTTGTGTGTATTTTACTTCTTTTTTAATGTTTATTTATTTTTTAGTTGTAGTTATACACAATACCTTTATTTATATGTGGTGCTGAGGATCGAACCCAGGGCCTCGCACATGCTGGGCGAGCGCTCTACCACTGAGCCACAACTCCAGCCCCCTGTATTTTATTTCTTTAACTTACTTTTTGGGTTCCATGGATATTTTAAAAGATGTGTGTTTTCTTTTTATAAAGATCTACTTCTTGTGGGACTGGGGATATAGCTCAGTTGGTAGAGTGCTGGCCTTGCATGCATAGGCTCTGGGTTCAATCCCCAGCACACCACACACACAAAACAAAAACAAACAAACAAAAAAAACTACCTCTTGTTATTCTGTTAGTCTCATTCATCTATCTATCTATCTATCTATATAATATTTTTAAAATAATGTAAATCCACCTTTCCTTTTATCCTGTATAACCCATCTCATGATAGTGATGTGTTACCCACTAATTTTTTAAAATATTTTTTTAGTTGTAAATTGACCTTTACTTTATTTATTTATATGCTGAGAATAGAACCGAACCCAGGGCCTCAGCCATGCTAGGCACTACCACTAAGCTACAACCCCAGCCCCTCCTGCTAATTTTTTATCTATATCAACTTCTTTTTTTTTCTATTTCATCTATCCTGATAGTCTAATATTCAATATATAAAAGTTCTTTTCTATAGATTACGTACGTTTAGTGCCTTCTTTTGTTCCATTTAATGTATTCAGACACAATTTTTATTATTTCTTACGTCAGTATTATCATACCCACTTTATTTCATTTGCTTTTACCTAACTTAACTCTGTTTGTGCCTCTTTATGTAAATGTCCTATGTCACTTAACTTTTTCACTAAAAGTTTAAATGAGTAATGTATTATTATGATCTGAAATTTTTAAAACAGAAGAAAAAAAAAAGATATGCAGACCAACATCTCCCTCCATCTCCCACCATTCATCTGCCCAGTTTCCATTCTTCCTCTCACCCAGCCTGGAAAATGTTTTGTTTTGCTTTATTATTATTATTTTTGTGTGTGTGGTACTGGGAATTGAACCCAAGGCTTCTGCATGTTAGGCAAGTGCTCTAGCCCTGAGTTACATCCCCAGCCCTTTGTAAATTTTACACTGAGACAGGATCTTACCAAGTTATCCAGGCTGCCCTGGAATTTGCAATCCTCCTGCCTCAGCTTCCCCAGGTTGTTGGGATTACAGGCATGCTCCAAAAAATCCAGCTAGAAAGTGATTTTATTAGTTTCTTGTGTACCCCTGAATTTATTTGTGCAAATACAATATTTCTACTTCTCTCTTTTTTTCATAAAGTGTTGCTTATAACCTTGCATTTTATCACTGAACACTGAACTTGAAGTTTCCATTTTCTTTTTAGGGGCTGCATCAGATCCCATTGTATAGATGTACCATTATGTATTTGAGCAATCCTTTATTGATGGACACTTGTGTTGTTGCCAATTTTTTGCTAGTACAGAAATTGCTGCGATAAATAACTTTGTACATACTTTCTGCTCAGGTACAAGTACATGTAGGAAAATTGCACAGAAATACTATTAGTAGATCAAAAGGTCCGTGCATTTGTAGATTTGATGACTTGTTCCAGTTTACCCTCCCTTTGGCAGCACATGAGAGTGCCTGTCCCCCCATAGCCTTGCCAATACTGTGATATGGAACTATTGGATTTTGGCCAATCTGATAGGTGAGAAATCATGTCTCAGTGTAGTTGTAATTTGCACTCTTGTTATAAGTGCATCTTTTCATAATAATAATAATTTAAGATCCATTTGCATTTCCTATTCTATTATATCCTATAGTCATTTTCTATTAGGGTGTTGGTTTTCTTGATGCCTATTGGCTTTTTATATTTTAGAAAGATTATCTATCCTTATGTCTTCCACCTGAATTGAAAATGATTTTTCCCAGCTTATTATTTGTCTTTAGCTTTACTTGTTTTTTTCTCTCCTTTCCCCTTCCTTCCCTCCTTCTTTCCTTTCTTTCCCTCCTCCCTCCCTCCCTTCCTCCTCCTCCTCCTTCTTCTTCCGTGTCTCTCTCTCCCTCTCTCTCTTTCTCTCTCTCTCTCTCTCTCTCTTTCTCTCTCTCACTGAGAGAATTGAACCCAGGGGTGCTCTACCACCAAGTTACACCCCCAGTGCTTGCGCTCGCTCGCTCTCTCTCTCTCTCTCTCTCTCTCTCTCTCTCTATTTATTTATTTAAATTTTTGAGACAGGGTCTTGCTAAATTGGCCAGGGTGTCTACAAAATTGTGATCCTCATGTCTCATCGTCACAAGTTGCTGAAATTATAGGCAGGCAGCCATCACACCTTACAGGTTCCCCACACACACACTTTATAATGCAGAAGTTTTTATTTTCTGAGGTTCAGCTTTTCCATTTTTTAAATGGCTTCTAAATTTTGAGCCATAGTTAGAAGAGCTTTTTCTACTCCAAGATATCTTTCCTATATTTTGTCTCCATTTAACATGTATATTTTTTAATATATTTGGATATTTTATATTAAGTCTGTCTGTCTTTCTTTCTATTTTGAGACAGAGTCTTGCCAAGTGACCCAGTGTGGCGCAGAACTTGCAGGCCTCCTGCCTCAGACTCCCCAGTGTGTTATTTCTCCTAAGCAACATATCGTGTAGTTGGATTTTGTTTTTAAACATGAGAATGAGAATCTTTGCTTTCAATAACATAGCTTAATTTATTTATATCTATTTCATAACTAATGTAGTCTCATTTTACTTTTCTATTTTTTAAATTTCTTGCTTCCTTATTGCTTTGCTTTTTTGTTCTTTGCTACACATTCTAGGTTTTTCCTGTTTATTATCTTCTAGAATGATTTAGAAAGTGGAAATCAAGTTTGTAATTATCTAAATCTTCAGATTAGTCAAGCACATGTATTTAAACTCGTATGTATCCAATTACCAAAGTCAATAAAAAGCGCCACTTATTGCTGCCCTGGCTGCTTTTCCCGAGTCTCTATTACTGTCTGCTTCTCAGATGAGGAAAATAAAGCTCCAAGTGCTTAAGTGGTTTGCTCCAAGGTCACCCCATAATATCTACTGATCATCCCCTTACACACACACACACCGTGATGAGAAATTTAGCAGGCTTAAGCCTGTCAGGGCCACCCTGGGAGCTCCAGAGAGGAAATCTCTGTGAATGCCATCGCCAAAAGTGAGGGAGGGGTGAGCACCTCAAGGTAAAATCCCGATGGTCTCGCAACCCTTGATATTAAACTCTAGGATTTTTGCCAATCTGATAGGTGAAAAATCATGCCTCACTGTAGCTGTGGTTTGCATTTCTCTTATGGGTGAGACCTCGCATCCTCTTACATGTTGGAGAGCCATTTGCATTTCCATTTCTATGAACAGCCTATTCATATCTCTTGCCCACTTGGGAAGTGCCCAGCAAATAATCACCACATCAAAGCTTCCTGGTCTGTTTGTTCTTGAGAATGCCAATCAGATGACTTGGAGAGTTTTATTCTGTTATAGAAAAGTCACGTCCGAAAAAAAATAGGCTTTTCATCTGAACCTTCAGAACAATTTTCTTCCTCCTTGTGCTGTCGGCTCTTTCCCCGGGTTCCATTTTGGTTGTTTTGTTCACTTTCCCTTGATCAGGCCAAAATAAAGCCGGGCCAAGCCTCACCTCCTGACCCTCTCAACTTTATGCTGTGTTGCTTAATAACGGCAGATGTCTCAATTCCACTGTTAGATAATGTAGACACAGAAAAAGAGAAGCTGATGAGGATTGCATAGGGGAATTATCATTAGGGCTGGGGGTATAGCTCGGTGGTGGAGCACTGTCCAGCATGCCCAAGGTCCTAGGTTCGATCCCAGCATCTGCAGGGGAAAAAAATATGCCACCGTTATCTTTGTCATTGTCATCAAGAATAGCTAGCCTTTAAATAGGACTATAGATTTGTAAGTTTATCTATTAATATTTATGGATATGTATACATATATATACACACACACACTAAATGTATATATTCAAAATTTACACATATGAAAATTTAGTTCTCATAGAACCCTCTATTCACTATCCTCATTTTACAGATGACAAGGGTAAGGTACAGAGAGGTTATACAACTTGCCAAGCTCACATAACCTTAACTGAAGTCTGGACTCTACCTACAGTATCTGGTCTCAGAAACCATGCCCTCCATCACTCCAGCTGGCCTGGGAAAACATTCCTATGTCATTAGTGTTTGGCCAAAAGCCCATCTGATCAGTGCTGCTCCTGAGTCCCTGAGATAGCGGTAGGCAGTATGGACTAGTCTGTTTTATCTTCTTTGAAACCACAGATTCTTCATTTACTAATTCATTTAATTTTCTGATTTATTCATTTAAGAAATATTTATTGTGTGCTTATTTTGTGCCAAGTCTGGTGCTAGGTATCAAAAATACCAAGATAAAGTAGATATGGTCCTTGTCCCTAAGGAACTTACAAGTAGTAGTAAAGGGGGTAGGATGGCAGTATGACCCATGCTGTTCTGTTTTGGGGGAGGAGGAGGTGGTGTACTATCCATGAATGTTTCTCAGTTCATTCCCATCCATCATCCAATTAGTGCAATGTCTCCCTTGTACTTTGCCCTGTGCCTTTCTCTTATCTCTGTTTATATAGCATTGCTGCCAGTTTTTGCATTTCTGCACACCTTCCTGAGCACTTTCACAGAGTATCCAGATTGGGTTGTCATTTTTCTACCCTGAAAAGCTCCTTGTTATGAGGCCTGGGGAACCAAGAAAGGCTTTTGGGTAGGGCAGATGGGCCCTTTAGAATGTTCACTATGGCTGAAATGTAGAAAATAAATTGAGTGGTGGAGATGAAACAGGCTGCTTGGTCCTGAGACTGCTCCATAGTCAAGCAGAATACAAGATCTGAGTAAAGGTTGTGGAGAATATGGATTCCAGGAACATGAAGGACATGGAATCAAAGGGACTTCGCATTCAACAATGTTGAATAAGCATCTAAATACCAGGCACTGTACCAGGTGCCAGGGATATAGCAGGGAACAAGATAGGTACAGCTTCTGCTTTCACTGAGCCTGGAGAAAAAGACAGGCCATTGGATCCTTTATGATAAATAAAATACAAGAGGAGAAGCCCCAGGCACTACAGGAGAACAGAAGGGGTCACTCGAGGGGGTGTGAAGGGGCAGTCCAGGCTGATTTCTGTTTCAGCTGTGGAAATAGATGGTGGGAATCTAGGAGGCAAAACTTATGTCTCTCTGGGTTCCCAACGTCCAGGGCAGGGCAGACAGAAGCAGAGAAATTGGTAAGCAAGCAATTATTGAATGAATAGAAGTCACCCAACTGTGGATGCTCCCCAGTCCCCACCCTGACCTTGAAAGAGGAAGGTGGGGAGTAGTTCACAAAGAAACTTGAAGTTTCAGGAAGTCCAGTGGTTACTCAATGCCCACAAACTGTCAGCTGCTTCCCAGTTACCCAACAGGACGCATGAGGCAGCCATGGCTTTCCTGATGCTCAGCAACCAACCCTGTGCTGCCATGACTCACTGTGTTTGGGCCTGGGCTGTGGAGGCTCAGCATGTCCCTGGCTGTTCTGGGGCCACCAGCGTGGACCCCACAGGTTATTAGAGGCCTTCCTGGAACTGGTAGGGAAGGAAGAACCAGCTCTGCAATAATGTCCCTGAGTATGTGTCCCCAGAGGTGGGGCTCTTCCTCTGGCTCCTATGTCTCCTGTGTCTCTGCCTCAGCATCAAGCTTCCAGGTCTGGGTCTCTACCTTCATTCAAGGACAGGGACTGGCCATTATCCTCTGTGTCCCCACCCTAGACAGCATTTCCCCCAGAACAAAATAGAAAATACTTCTTGAGTTAGTTTGGAGAGAACCACACCCTGACTTTTCAGGGATAGTGTCCCCCATATCCAGGGGGAGAAAGCCTGCCAGAAGCCACTCAAACACCCAAGTCATTCTTAGCTCATAGCCCAGCTGCCCATAGTTACATCCCTGAGTGGGTACACGGAGGCTCCTCTGCACAATTTCATGCAGCACACCTCATCCCTAATTCCTCAGGATCCTTTTCAGGCCACCTGTGTTCCCTGTCAGGGCTGGGGCCACACAGGCTGATGGCCAAAGATGGCCACCATGCCACTGGGAGGGGAGCGCCTGCTCTGCCCTGGTGATTGCCCAACTGTGTTGGCTGCCCCATCTGGTGGCTCCCCACCCTCTAGGTCTTTTCTACCTGAGAGCCAGGGCTCTCCTTCCTGCTCCACAGTCACTTATTTGTATGGCTCTTCAAGCAAGATATTCTGTGTTTACCCAAATTTCCCAAGTGCCTGCCAGGAACAGTGCCCTGGTGGCCTTGCCTGGTAGCCCAGAGCTATGTCAGCTCAATCAGACCTCAAAGTTTATTTGGTTTGGGGGTTTTGGTTGTGTGGGGGTTGTTTTTAGGTTGGTTGGTTGGTTTGTTTGGGTTTTTTGTTTGATTGGTTGTTTTGGTTCGGGGGCTTGAACCCAAAGGGACTTTACCACTGAGACAGGATCTCACTAAGTTGCTGAGGTTGGCTTCAAGCTTGTCATCCTCCTGCCTCAGCCTCCCTAGTCCCTGGGATTACAGGCATGTGCCACATACCCCATTAGTTCTTAAGTATTAAGCAAAGTGTTTTATTTTTGTCTGACTCTAGAAATAATACCTCTTTGTTGTACAGCATTTGAAAAAAATATGAAAAAAGGGAAAACAAAATGCGCCCCCACCCATCCTGCTTTACACAGGTAAGTGATGTTAAGCGGGGTTTCTATGCATATTAACCCAGGTATAATGTATGTATAATTTTGTGTCCGGCTTTTTTTTTCCCCCTCATAATGGCACAAGAATTTTCCTGGGTTTTTACAAGCCAGCCAGTTAAATTCTAACCCCATTGATTTCAATTTATCATTCTACACAAATTCTTAACCTTTGTGGAGATTTGGCTTTCTCTTCCAAGCTTAGAATTATGCTGGTACTGGAATAGAGGAAGAGGAGAGAGGAGGAGGAGAGGAAGAGGAGAGGAAGAGGAGGAAGTGGGAGGGAGGGGAAGGAGGAGGAGACAAAACCAACACTGAGCATTGGTTCTCTCTGCCTCTCTTTCCTCCCGCTCCAGTTAAAATTTGTTTCTTAGAGGCCTGGGGCTGTGGCTCAGTGATAGAGCGCTTGCCTCACATGTGTGAGGTACTGAATTTGATCCTCAGCACTGAATATAAATAAATGAATAAAATTTAAAAAAAGGTCAATCAACAACTAAAAAAAAAATTTTTTTTTTTAAATCTGTTTCTTATATTGAAAAGCCACAGGTCAGTCACATGACTTCCAGGGTCACACAGGCCCACCTGATCTCTTCCAGAGTCTTTCCCTCTGTTTATGCCACACACCCAACCCTAAAGGGAAGGACAATCACTCCCTGCTGGGAAAAAAGTCTTCCTCTCTGGGGCCAGCCCTAAAGGGCCTGGGCAGCAAAGACCCTGTCCCAGCTACCCTGCTTCCACTTGGGTCCTCTTCCTTCTTGTCACAGGATCTAGTTTCCACACCTTTGTAACCTGGTTACCATCTCTTGATTCAGAGCATCTCCTAGCATGTTAGGGAGGCTCCAGAGCTCCAAGTGGGTCTGGTAGAGTGTGGAGCAAGATTAGGATAGTCCCTTTCTCTGTTCTGGCTGTTATGCCTCTGTTAATGCAGCCTACATTTATGCGGTAGCCACCACCTTGGCTTATGAAGAGCTTGTGCTGGGCTTGAACTCTGAGCCCTTTCTTGTGTTATTGCTAGTAAACCAGTTCTCCCATATTCTGTGCTTGAAGAATCTTTTGAAGAAACCATATGCAAAACTTGATCCTTTTCCCTCTTTATGTATTTGTGTTGTGATATTTACTCTCTTTCCTAGCTTCTTGTCATGGATGAACTTGATACATGTGCACCAGGTCTCTAGCCAACCTATTGGTGTTAAACATGAACCTGACCCAAGACAGAATCCCCTTCCCAGACATCGGTCTATAATCAGAGCCTTGTTTAATTAGCTTCCTAAAAATCTGGGAAAAGCCAGGTATGGTGTCACATGCCTGTAATCCCAGTGGCCCCGTAGGCTGAGGCAGGAGGTTGCAAGTTCAAAGCCAGCCTCAGCAACTTAGGGAGGCCCTAAGCAATTTAGCATGATCCTATTTCTTTTTTTTTAATATTTATTTTTTAGTTGGAGGTCGACACAATATCTTTGTTTTTTGACACAATATCTTTATTTTATTTTTATGTGGTGCTGAGGATCAAACCCAGTGCCTCACGCATGATAGGCAAGCACTACATATGAGCCACAACTCCAGCCCCTAACATGACCCTGTTTCTAAATACAGAAATTTATAAAGGGCAAGGGGTGTGGCTCTATGGTTAAGCACCCCTGGGTTCAATCCCTGGTACCAAATAAGTAAGTAAATTAAATTAAGTTAAATAAATCTGGGAAGAAATATCACCTTCTTTAAAAATCCAGTCATGCATTAGTAGACACCTGAAGAGTTGAAATAGGATACTCAAGCAAATAACTCTTACAGGAATGTTCACAGCAGCACCTATTGACAAGAGCCAAAAGATAGAAATAACCTAAATGTTCATTAACAGTTGAATGAGTAAACAAAATGTGGTGTACATACAATGGAGCATTAGTTGAATGAAGTTCTGGTACATGCTATGGTGTAGAGGAACCTCAAAAGCATTAGGTCAAGTGAAAGAAGCCAGACACAAAAGGTCACATATTATATGGGTCCATGTACATTCAATGTTCACAATAAATAATTCACAGAGACAGAAAGCAGATTGGTGGCACCAGGGGCTGAGAAAAAAAGGACAAGGGAAATGATTGTC